TAAAAATGGGAGTTCATAACCCACTTGAATCAAAGTGTGAAATATGATATATCAAGAACTATGTAATGTTTTGAACAACCAACAATAAAAAATTTAAAAAAAAAAAGAAAATGGAATATGTCTCACCTATTAGGCTGGGTGGGAGAAAGAGGAAGGAATTATGACATTTTAATAAATCATTTAATTGCAGCAATTTTGTAATTTGGGCAAACCATGTTGAATTCCTACGGCTAACCACAGAATCCAGTAGCAGTCTTGAGATAATTATAAATTTCAAGACAGACAATATTTTATTACCTTTATCATTTGAAAGGTCAAAAAACAAGTGTTCTTACAATGTCTATGTAAATGTCATGCTGCACCCCAAAACAGTTTCCAAACTTTTTCATTTCAAGTCACATTATTCAAAGTCTTCAATTTTCCTCATCTCACTAGCTGAGATGAAAACAAGAAAAGGGTGGTATCCCACAGCCATTAATAAAAGCTGGTGCTGAAAAATGAGGAATTACTTTTGGAGAGGGGAAGAAGATTATACCTCAGAAGTACATGAAGATATGATAATATAGTAAAATTAGAAGACTATAACATTAGAAACAAACCTCTACAAAATAACTCTACAACACAATTTAAGTTAGAAGTCATAGATTATAAATACTCTAGGAAAGCCCAAGTTTGAATTTGATATGGATATCTATAAGGAAGATGGGAGAGAATAATGGCAGTCATAAGGACAACTTGGCTAGAAAATACTGGCCTCAAATTACTTTTCAATATCTAACTCTTAGATTAGCACATCACTTAGAGTTATCATACTTATGAAAAATCAAAAGTCTTCAATAAATGATCAATATATTTTATACAAATTTCTTCTGAGAAATAAAAAAACTCCATAATTTAAATATACTAGCTAGTATGGCCAACAATATCTAATAAGTTAGTCATTTTTTTCCCTCATTTTCATTACATAACATTAGAAGCCATGGAAAGAAAAATCTATTTTTAACTGAATTGCCAGTTCAAGCCTTTTAAGTTACATGTAAACAAATATTATTAAATATTATTAAATCTACATTTCCTTTCATTCCTTCTATTACCACTTTTCTTCAAAATATGCCTTTACACCAGATTTTCCCTTCTGCTAAATACAACCTAATAATGAAGAAAAATGTTACCCATATCCAGAAGAATATCAAGAAAGAACACTGCTCACAATAAGAGTAAAATTAAGTGTCTAATTTGGGGTCATATGAAAATATTGTATTAAAATCCACTTCAAAGCAGACTTTGTTCACAAAAATTAGACATTTTGTATCCTATGCCCCTAAAATCTGATTATGCTTCAAAACTAAGCTGGACCTGCCTATGTAGTACAAAATGGAAGATAACTTACTTTTTCACATCATCACCATGACATGCCAATTATGTCATACAAGAATACAATGATTTCTAAAATAAAACCAGGATTAATAATAGAATATATTAAAGTAGAAAAAATGAAGAAATATTCAACCTACTCAGTCCAATCTATAAAAAATATAGAGACAGATTTATACCCTTCCAGAATGACCTGAATTAGATGACTCAGTTTACACTATTATTTACTTTCAAATTGGTAAGGGAAGACTGCTCTGATCAGTGACTTAGTTAAAAGGTGGGGGGATTATAGTCTTACTAGAACTTGTAATTGCCCTTCCCATTTATATTTAAAGGCAAGAAAAACTGAACATGCTCAACAGTTATAATAACATATAAGCATCAATTTCAAAAACATTTACAGGTACTAACTGGGCTACCCAATCTAGTATGACTGGGTAATGTGCTTGTCAGTCATGTAAAAAAAAGTTTTATGTGGGGCACAGCAGTGCATACCTGTAATGCCAGCAACTTGGGAGGCTGAAGCAAGAGGATTACAAGTTTGAGGCCAGCCTCAGCAACTTAGCAAGACCCCGTCTCAAAATAAAAATTAAAAGGGCTGAACCAGCACGGTGGCACACGCCTGTAATCCCAGTAATTCAGAGGCAGAGAGGCAGGATGATCGCCAAAGCCAGCCTCAGCAAAAGGGAGGCACTAAACAACTCAGTATAAAATACAAAATAGGGCTGGGGATGTGGCTCAGTGGTCAAGTGCTCCTGAGTTCAATCCTTAGTATTCCCCAAAATAAAATAAAATAAAATAAAATGGACTGGGGATGTAGCTGATTTCAATCCCCAATAATAACAACAACAACAACAAAATTATACTACTATTATTAAGGTAAACTGCCCCTGAATTCAATCCTCAGTAACAACAATAAAAAAAAATTACATTACTATTATTATACCTATCTATGTTATTACAAAACAGGCTTACTAAGTTTTCAGTACAAAGATTCTTATTCTGATTGAAATACTTCACAGTTATTTAAGATCATACAAGTTCTTTAAAAAATAGAAATACCAGACTAAAGTGAATCATTGTAAGGTTTAAAAATGGCAGTTCTGATTTTTTAATATGTTATTTTACACTTGTGTGTCTCAAAGTGGAAAACTATACCTGAGAAGGATAACAAATAAACACTTTCAACACTAGTATTTACTGAGCACAGCACTACACACTATGATGAATTCTTTGCATTTATCATCTTACTTAATTCTTAATAATCTAGGGACTGTAACTATCCCTATCTGAAATGAAGAGACAAAGATAAATAATTTACTCAAGAAGTGGTATAGATGGCTTTGAATCCAGAGCCTAGAACCAAGGTAATTAGGAGAAGAAGGAAGTGATCAAGAAAGATTACAGAAATATTAACTCCTAATGTAGAATGGCATATTGTTTATTGATGGTAGTTCTTCCTTATATCCTGGAATAGCAGGTTTCAGTTCTGTCTACACATTAAAAATCACCTGCAGAATTTTTTTTCCCAACTATTCATTTACGGGATCCCTCACTCAGATAACCTGGCCTTAAACTGATCTGGGGAGGGCCACAGGTATTATTTTTTAAAGAAGCACTCCAAATGACTCTAAGGGGGCAAATAAGATTGAAAACCACTAATAATTCTTTCCCACCCTATTAAACTCTCTATCCAACTACAATAAACTTATAGATCACCTATTTGGTTCTGAGCACTCTATTATACCTTCCATTTATCCAACAAAGTGCTTAGCTTTTCCTCCTCTTAAACAGAGGAAGCATTACTACTACAGTTGAACCTTTATTTCTTGCAGTGCTCCTAGAACCTGGCCCATGCTAGGCAAGTAATCTACCACTGAGCTAACATCCCAAGTCCTAGCTGAACCTTCTAAATTTTAGCAGCTTTCCTTTGACATCAGGAATACGAAGGAAAGGACAGAACACATGAAAAACTTTGGATGCTTCCTTCAACATCCATATACTTCTGAGGTTTAAAACAAGGCAAAAAAAAAAAAAAAAAAAAAAAAGTCTTAAGAGTCAAACTAAAAATGAAATGACAGGTTATGACACTAAAAATGTTCTGTGATATATGTTAAAAATTTTAATATATAGCTGGGCATGGTGGTTCACACCTATAATCCCAACCAATGCAGGATTGCAAGTTTGAGCCCAGCCTGGACAACCTGGGGATACTATGCCTCAGAATAAAAAAAAAAAAAAGGGGGGGGGGTGTAGCTCAGTGATTGAGTGTCCCTGGGTTCAATCCCTAGTATAAATAAATAAATAAATAATATTTGATTTTATTTCTTAATTAAGCTGATAATGACAGTTAAATCACTTACTGTTATTGTGGTGATAAACTCCATTGTCTTGTCACGATGCTTTGAGTGATTATGCAGTATTTTTACCCTTTAAGTCACCTGAATATAAACTAACAGGTGCTAAAGGAATCAAAGCATTACATAAACATACCTACACACCAATATGGCTGGTCAAAAAATGTACTGGGAAAAAACAAGGATTCTGCTGACAATTTTATATGAGAAGTCTTACTGTTTCACTAAGTTACTAAAAGTACATCCCACTCACCGTATACCAAAATATAATGAAAACAGTTCCAGGCATTCTCAGACTTGCTGGCTTTTAGTGAAGAGGTGAAATGCAGAGGCACAGGAAAAGTATGGAAATTTGAACAAGAGATCTAACATGAAAGAGTATCAATACTTCAAGTTGGACAAAACTCTGGACTTCAGAGAAACATTACAAAACTTCCTGTTTCCGGACAGCTCATTATTTGGTCCAATCTTCACATTCCTTTATTAGTCATGACCTTTTCAGAAAGCTTTCATTCCTTATTGTTTGAATAATTTGGAACTTTTGATGTTTCCAAAAAGACTCACAGGAATCTTTATCAAATGAAGAAGCCAATCAAAGAGTTCATGCCCCAAGGTACGACTTACATTGCTGGGAGCTCTCAGTAATGTCAGCAGATTGTAACTTTTATTTTTAACACATTGTAAACATATATATTTCTGCGCAACTTAAATTTCTGCTCATCTATATATTTTTATCACATATAATTACAGGAACTTGCATTAGCTCCGCAGAAATTAACTCTGTTGGGGAAGACCTGTGGGTATGTGTGAAACACAGATCTTCGACGGTAAACCTCATTGCCAATGGTCATTGGGGTCTTGCACGGGCCCAGATCTGGCCTCTGAGCCATATGTCACTAGGTTCAAAGGCACAGAGAACCACAGGGTAACTGGGCGAGAAAACGAGGGGGAGGCACCTCATAAATACGTGCACTTCCAACCCGAGGCTAGAAGGGGTGCCTGGAAAGGCAGACCCTAAAGAAAAACCTTTCCTATTGGGATCCGGCACATCACACAGGCCTGCAGGGCCTGCTGGACAGGGGGTGGGGGGCGGCCCCCTCTTTGGAGACCTAAACAAACGAAAATAAGGCAAGTTCTCACTTCCTGGTCGCCTGCTCTTCCCGAAGGTCCCCGACACCGGACAGACACCGGGGGGAAGGGAACTCCGGGCAGTAGGTGGGGCCCACCCCAGCCCTGCACCTCCCGTCCTCGCCCTCCTCCGGGCCTTACACGGTGACGTGACCGGAGCCGCGGACCACCACCGGGTCTGGCGAGTACTTGAGCAGCTGCTCTTCCAGGGCCCGCTCCTCGTCCTCCTCCTCCTCGTAGATCTCGTCGAAATCCGCCATTCTGTGCCTCCGAGCCCCCCTGCCCCAGGGGCCTGACTCCAGGGTCTGGCGCCGGGGTTCCGGCTGGCGAGGCGGCGAGGCTGAGGGAGTCGCTGCCGCCGGTTCAGGCCGCGGAGTTCGCTCTCGTCTGTCTCGACTCCGGCTAGTGAACGGATGGGGTCCGAACCGTCGCCACCGCCTCCGCCATTACCATCGGCAATAACAACAACACAATGTCAACATCCGCCCAGGGGCCGACACCTCCACCAGCACCGCCGCCGCAGCAGCAACTCAGGCAACCACAGCAACAGCCAGAGCCACCCGCAGCGGGACCAACCGGCTACGGCATCGCGAGACTTCCCGGGAGTGGGGGCGGGAGCGTGCGTGGGCGCGCCGGCTGGCGGGCGGGCGCGCGCGCGCACGTGAGGCCTCGCGCGCTCCCAGGACGGTGTGCTCCTTCTCTTAACACGCGCCGGCACGCTGGGGCGCGCGCTCCCGCCGGCGCGGCCCCGCCCGCCAACTCCTGGGTCGCGGACCCGGAAGGCGGTGGCCGTAAGGATTGGAGGCTATGACCTCGACTTGAGAAACGGAGTTTGGAGTGTCCGGTGGGACATACAGTTCCCCAAAGAAATCTCTAACCCAAACAAACAACCGAAAATAAAAGCCCTGGTTGGAATAAGTAATGAATCATGCGTGTGATTGCCAGTTATCTAATAATCTCGATTTTGTCAGTTTTTTTCTTTTGAATTTGTGATGAGAACCAACAGTCTGTACTTTCCCAGCATGAGGAGACCAACAAGATGCATTCCTGTCCACTGTACTACAGGACTTCCCAAAACCTCCAAATTGAAAAATTTGTCCCTTTTTAGCCCTTTGAATATAGTCTGATTTGTGAGGCCAGTGGTACTGATAATTATTTCTTGCAAGAAATCTCCACTAGTTATGCTATGAAACAAAATTGATAAATTTTCCAGATTCCAGATTAGAAGATGCAGTTTCCTGCCCCAAATCCCTTACAAAACATCATCTGTTTTCTTCTGTTAAAACCTTAGAGAATTTTGTTTTCTTTCTGACCAAAAACTTAAAACACACACACACACACACACAGAGAGAGAGAGAGAGAGAGAGAGAGAAATGTAAAGAAGGGACAGAGAATGTTTTGCTGTTTATGTGGGAGGAAGGAAGGAAAGACAATTGTCTTCATAGATTCTGCCTATCTGCCTTGTAAAGGCCCAAGAGTCACCTTGGATACTTGGTTTCATAGTCAACAACCTGTCAGGCAAACAATACAGGGGCAGAAGTGGGCTCCTGAGGACAGAGTCCTGAATAATTAGGGTCTACTTTTAGGGGGATGAAGGGATAGTCCTATTTGACCCAGTGTGTCAGTATCCAAGTATAGTGTTCACATCCTTGAAGTTTACTTTACATGGGTCATTGTCCAAGGAGAAAAAGTGGAAAGGAGGTCAATAAGGACAGGGAGAAATGCCAAACAGCCTCCTATTGGAAATGGCTGGAGAAAAAGTGCATAGTCAATCAAATAAAGGTGGAAGAAAAACAGTGGTTGTTATCAGACTTGTATACCATCTCAGAGGTTTTATTCATTCAACAAATAGTTAATGAGCTTCAACTATGAATCAGGAACTCTGCAAGAGTGTGTGTGTGTGTGTGTGTGTGTGTGTGTGTGTGTGAGAGAGAGAGAGAGAGAGAGAGAGATTGAGCACACACACACACTCAGAGAGCATGGTGGGGCACATATGTCATCCCAGCTACTCTATGGGGGCAACTTAGCTAGACTCTTCTCTCAATAAAAATAAAAAGGGCAGGGATATAGCTCATTGATAGAGCATTTGCCTAGCAGATTCCAGCTCTGGGTTCAGTCTCCAGTACTGAAAATATATCACCATCACACACACACACAAAAAAAAAAAAAAACCCCACAAACAACAGGTGTGTGTGTGTGTGTGTGTGTGTGTGTGTGAACATGACTCCTTTGCTTTTAGTACCTTATCTACCATTAAAGGAAGCAATTATAGTTTTTCATCAGGTGTTCAGAAGTCTGTGTAGATGTTCTAGTAGAGCACAAAGGAGACAGCTTGGTCTGGTAGTTAACAGTAGATTCTAGAACCTGCCTGCCTGCTTTTGAATCTTGGCTCTGTCACTTATTATGTGACCCTGAACCAGTCACTTACCTCTCTGTTCTTCACATGTAAAAGAAGGATACAATAGTACCTACCCCACTGGGCTGTTCAGATTAATATGTGAAATATGAAACGTTTAGAAGAGGACCAGGCCCTCAGTAAAGAGTGACAATAGGCATTCTAAAGGGCCCATCCAGTTCATTAACTATGAGAATTACAATTTTTTTTCAGTACTGGGGATTGAACCCCTGGGTGTTTTACCACTGAGTTACCCTCGTAGCCCTGTTTATTTAGAGACAGGTTCATCACACTTAAGTTGCTGAGACTGGCCCCAAACTTGCCATCCTCTTGCCTTAGCCTCCTAAGTTACTGGAATTACAGGTGTGTGCCACCAAGACCAGAGAGAATCACTACACTTTTTTGGCATTATGTAATGTTTTGTTGTTTATGAGTGACATATGTAATATATCATTGGATATTTTCCCCAAGAGCCCTGTCAAGTAAGCAGGAAGATGTTTTTTCTTCAGTTTCAGAAATGCCATATGACTCTCTCATGGCCACACAGTTATTTAATGGTCACTCAGGGCTTCAGCACCAACACATTGGATATGTCAGGCTTCTGAATTTCCTTCTTAGCAGGAACCAGGAGGATAAGGGCTACACTCAAAGGAGTGCCTTCAAATGGGAAGGTAAGATAAAAGCATAAAGGAGGAAGGTAGGTCTATTCCCAGCACAGCCCACCCCCATCTTCTGTGGCTGAGAATTCACCTTTTTGTAGAAACAGTGACCAAGACAAGGGGCTGCTGCCTGAAGTACCTTAATCATCACAAAGCTGACCATGACCCAAGGGCAGAGCGAGACAAACACAACTCCTTAAATCTCCAGCCACTTTCACAGTTCCTATTTCAGAGAAGGAGCTCCATAAATGTTGTGTGAATTGAGCAATATGGTTACTGAAGCTATTTCCAGAAAGCTATGAGTTAACAAAGCTTTGGAGGACTGTGGGAATCTCACCCCTAACTATCTTAACACTGGTTCTATGTGGGAGAAATGTTCTTGCTCTAAGAACTATTCAACAGAGAGATCTTTGTAACTCCCACTGTTTGGGTATAAGGTGGGGGTTAATTTTTCGTTTTTTTTTTTTTTTTTGGCTCGTCTTTTTTCCTGTTCTGAAAAAACCTATCAGTGCCAGAAAAGGGGTGTGGGACCTGGGAACAAGGCCAAGAGGGTGAGGGAAGATGAGTCAAACATTTCCCTATGATAGTTGACATCATAGTTCCAAACTCCACCCCCAACCTTCCAGGGTTCAGTTTCCTGTCAAACTTCTTTCCCCAACCACCCATTTCAGTATCTTTTCCCTCCATGTTCAAGAGCTCTTCTTTGCCCTGCTGAGTTCCCATCCCTGTGTGCACTCCTCTCCATTTGAGTTCCCCTTCAACTCCTGTCTCCCATACTTTCACATTTACCTTCAGACCAAAATGACTCAAAGCCAAACAGGATAATGCTTCGGGAGGCAGCCAGTCTTCAGTTGCTGTTGAGGCAATTGTTCCTGGATTTGAAAGCCTCCAAGCTCTGTCCCTACCTAGCTGAGAAGCCTTTGGACGATTCAATGGTCTAAGTTTATTCTTCTTCATCCTAAAATAGAACCTGTGTCGTGCGGTTATCAAGGATCAGAGGAGATAATACAAGTGCTTTAGACTGAATTGCACCCCACCACGTGTACATTGAAGCCCTAACCCTCAACGTGATGGTATTTGGAGATGGGGCCTATTGGGTTTAGATGAGATCCTGATGGTGGAGTCCTCCTGGTAGAATTAGTACTCTCAGAAGAAGAGACAGCAGGAGCTTGCTCTTTTCCTCCCTGCCATATGAGAAACTAGCAAGAAGATGGCTGAGTGCAAGCCAGGAAGAGAACCCTCACCAGGAAAAATTTTGGATGGCACCTTGATCTTTAATTTGCTAGTCACCAGAACTGTGAAAAATACATCTCTGTTGTTTAAGCCACACAGTCTACAAAGGACTGAATGTTTATGTCCTCACAAAACTTGTCTGTTGAAATTCTAATCCCCAAGGTGATGGCATTAGGACGTAGGGCCTTTGGGACATAATTATATCATGAGAGAAGAGCCCTTGTGAATGGGATTAATGCCCTTAGAAAAGAGGCCCCAGAGAGCTCATTTGCACCCTTCCACTATGTGAGGATATGGTAAGACAGTGATTTGTGAAAAAGAAAGTGGGCCTTCAACAGACACCACATCTGACAGTCTGTGATTGTGGACTCCCTAGGCTCCAGAACTGTGAGAAATAAGTCTTTGTTGTTTATGAGCCACCCAGTTTATGATATTTTGTTATAGCAGCTTGACCAGACTAATACTCAATCTGTATTTTTTTGTTATGCATATAAATCCTCATTTGTTCATTCATTCGACAAATGCACACTGAATGATTCCCATCTGCCACACACTGTGCTAGGAAATGGAGACTTAGCAGTAAGGCAGTACATGAGACATAGGCCCTGCCTTCATGGAACACAAAGTCCACTGGGGAGATAATTGTGAAAATAAATAATTATTGGAAGTGTGATCAGTCCTGTGGAGAAGTACAGGAGCCAAAGAGAGCAGTAAACAAAACTAACTCACTCTGAGAAATCGGAATTTATTCTTGGAGAAGAAGAGATTTAAGCTGATGAACTAAGCAAAGTAGTAGCGGTAGGGAAGAAGAGAGAAGAGAGGGGAAAATTCCAGACAGTGGGAACAGTATGTTTAAAGACCCTGAGGCAGAAAAGAAGATGGTACAAATGAGGTACAAATCAAAGCCAGTGTGGCTAGATCATGTTGAGGAAGGCAGAGAAAAGATTTCTCACTCCAGTCAGAATGGCAGCTATTATGAAGACAAACAACAATAAGTGTTGGTGAGGATGTGGGGGAAAGGCACACTCATATACTGCTGGTGGGACTGCAAATTGGCGCAGCCAATATGGAAAGCAGTTTTCCTTGGAAAACTGGGAATGACCACCATTTGACCCAGCTATCCGACTTCTTAGTCTATACCCAAAGGATATATAATCAACATACTATAGAGACAGAGCCACATCAATGTTTATAGCAGCACAATTCACAATAGCTAAACTATGGAGCCAACCTAGATGCCCTTCAGTAGATGACTGGATAAAAAAAAAATGTGGCATACATACACAATGGAATTTTACTCAGCAATAAAACAGAAC